TTGAATGCCTCCAGGAATGGGGCATCCACAGCCTCCTTGGGCAACCTGTTCCAGTCCATTCATTTATTCATTAGATCCATTCGCTGATTTCTCAATTCTCTTTTTTTTCCCCCATTTCCTTCAACAGGAATCATTAACCAATGGCAACAGGAATCCAAGGATAAAGTGATATCCCTATTGTTAACCCACCTGCCTTTACTGAAGCCCGGAAACATCGAAGCAAAAGTCGAATACATGAAACTCTTGCCTAAAATCCTGGCCCACTCGATTGAACACAACCAACACATCGAGGAGAGCCGACAGCTGTTGTCCTACGCCTTGATCCACCCGGCCACCTCGCTGGAGGACCGCAGCGCTTTGGCCATGTGGCTCAACCACCTGGAGGACCGCACGTCGGGGACCTTTGGCAGCCAGGGCAGGGGCCGCTCGGACTCTGTGGACTACGGGCAGACTCACTACTATCACCAAAGACAGAACTCCGATGATAAACTCAACGGATGGCAAAACTCTCGAGACTCGGGCATAAGCGTCAGCGCTTCCAGCTGGCAGGACAAAAACCTGGCCTGCGAGAACGGCCATCTGCCCCTCTACTCCTCCTCCTCCGTCCCCACCACCATCAACACCATTGGCACTAGCACAAGCACCAGTAAGTACCTGGGAGCTTTGGGGAGCTGGTCCCACCAGCCCTCTTTGCCACGTTAAGCAGAGGGCTTAGTTTCATCCAGGCCACTCCCTGATTTTGGTGTTTTTCCCTTATCTGCTTGTGGTTTTGGTTGTTTTTTTTTAATTTCCCACCTGTCTTTTCGGTTTTCTCCCTTTAATTCTGTGGGTTTTTAAAAAGGTTGCTGGAGAAAAGCAGCTGGAAAGCTATAAGAACAAAACGGTGTGTTATGGAGGGCAGATCCTTCTGTTTCGTGCAGCTCCAGCTAGGTTTGCAGCTCCACAAGCTCCCAAAGTGGGCAGCTGATGCTTCATTTCCAAAATCAACCTGGGGACCTGGAATGGGATCAGTGCCCCAAAGAGCAGGCATTGTGTTGAGAAGCAGGGCTGGGTTCTGGAATCTTTGAGAACAATCCCCTTTAATCTGCAGCACAGAGAGATGTGAAGCTGATGGCTGATGGTGATTGAGAGTTTTAGTTGCAAAGTTCTCTGTGTTTTCCAAGAGGTGGAGAGTTGGGAAGCTCTTCCCTATTGAGGTCCTGACAGGTTTTGGTGGGGACAGTGCAGAGCCCAGCCCAAGGCTTGGACACTGGGAAGGTACCACGGTTGGGACTTTGTCACTGGTGGTGAATGGAGGTGTAGTGCAGCTCTGGCTTTCTTAAAGCAGCTTGGGAGAGCAGCAGAGCATGTTCTCAGTGAGCTCCTCCACTGTGTGCTTGTTGCATCCTTATCCCTGATGACACATGGCTTCTGCTCAGAGACCTTCCTTGGCTTCTCTATCACTGGATCTTGCCTGACGGGCTATGGAAGCAAGCATGTTCCCCTAATGCATGCTTTTTGTCCCCATTTTAGCACAGTCTTCTCACCCTGCCCTTCCCCTTCTCTGTTCAACTCTTCTCCACCTGTTACTGGGATGATCTTGTCCAAAGTACTGACAATCCATTCCTATTCCTGTCCCCTACCTGGGGCTGCTTCACCTGATTCCTGGTTCCCTGCTTCTATCTGTGCTATTGGAGCTGATTAATAGCAATAAATGCCCATTCCTCCCCAAAATTTGGTATGCTTTTGCTCCCTCTGCAGCCTTCCCCACCTGGCACCTCCCTAAGACACAAGGGATGCAGAGAGTGCTTGCAGTGAGGCATTGTTTTCTTATCAGCCTATGGAAAGAATCATGAAATCACTGGAAGCTGTACAATGCTCACTTAAGGCTGATTTTTTTTTTCCTCTCCTCTAATCAGTGCTTTATTAGGTTGTGTTTTAAATGAACAGCAATGGGAGATGCAGTTCTGAATTCATGCAGCCCAGCCCCTGCCTCTCCAGCACCCATCTTTGTCACGCAGGGATTTAGCAGAAAGGGATCTAGCAGCATCTAGGCACTGGTTGATGTTCCCATCCCATCCCCATCATGTAGCTCTCTGTAGAGCAGACCAGGGAGCAGCACGTGTGGCTTTGGAACCAAGTCAGGCAGCATTAGGAGGTGATACAAGGGTTGGCAGCAGCTCTGATATCCTGGCTCCTGGTACCCTGCTATTGCACAACATGGGGCTTCTTCATTGCCTTGCACGGGGCAGAGGAGAGCTGTGTCAGAGTGACTGAGCTGCACGGGAAAGGTTAAATGAGTGAAAAGAGTCATGAATGCATTTGCAACTGTGCTATTAAACCTTATGGTATTTATTTTTCTTAATTTTTTGTCTCTCCTCGTGGTGTTTGCATGGCTGGAAGCTTTGCGTGCCAGAGAGGGGATTAGAATTGGTGGCTGCAGGAGGGATTTGGATCCTTGCACTGTGAGCTAGAAGTAGGGAGGTATGAGCTTAGTCTGAGGATGATGTGGATGAAGGTGACACCGACTTTGCCAGTGGCAGTTCCTGTGATGTGCTCCAGAGAGACCCGAGGTGTTTGGGAAGGTTTGGGGTGTTTAACCAAGAGGGGAAAGGCCTCATTGATCCAGGTCAGGCTTGCAGGAAAAAAGCCTGTGACAAAAGAAGCTTTGGGTGCAGCAGGTTAATCATTGACAAGCTGGGCAAGAAGTGCTGGGTCTTAAAGGACGCTTCTCAATAAGCTGCTCAAGCTGATGTGAATTTGTTGTATTGCCATGGCCCTTTGCCACAGTGGTCCCAGCACAGCATCTCCTGCCTGGGCCAGACCTCCTTTGTGGGAGATCCCATAGCACCAGTTCACATGGCAGCATCACACCCATGTTGTTCTGCTGTGGGATTTAATCATAGAATCGTTTAGGTTGGAAAAGACCATTAAGATAACAAGCCCAACCCCAAGCCACCCCCCACCGTGCCCACTGACCATGTCCCTAGTGTCTGTCATTGCACTGCACAGCTCCTGCTGCTTCGTTTGGGTGGCAGTGAGCTCAGACAACCTGCAGGTGCAGCTGGAGTGTGTTTGGTCCTGAGTTCCCTTAATGCAATATTTACTTGGATGGAAGCACAGTGAATCCACAAATAGATGCTCAAAACCAAACACAGCCAGCCAGCCTTTGTCCCAGCCCCTCGAGTCTCTCACTACATCCATAAATCTCCTATTCCAAAGCAAAGCCCTCAAGCACTCACTGTTTGTTTAGGTTTTATTCCTACTCTTGTTGGGTTCTCCTCTCCCCAGAGGTGTTGATGTGGGCTGGGCTCAGCCTATCAGTGTCTGCTTCCAGCACCAGCATGGGGCAAAGCCCTTCCTGGAGGTGTCTGGAGGCACTTGTGCCTGGTGGTTTGGCACAATTAAACTCAGCTGAACCAGAGCAGTGCCCTGGGCTCTGTGCTCAGAGCTCAGTGACAAAGGGGCACACAATAGAAGCCTTAGAGGAGCATTTCTCCTGACCTCTTTCTCTGCCATGTGTAATCGGTTCCATCTGAGCATGATCTGGCTTCCAGCTGGGTTTCTTTTGTCAAGTGCAAGCCCAGCACAGCTTAACCCTGTGTTTTCCCCTCCTCTACTCCCAGTGTATCACCTGGGGACAGCTGTGTTACTTCTTTTGTTTATTTATGGTGAGATTTCACTGTATTCCCATCCCTGGTGTAAAGCCAGGGCACACAAGGTCCCTGTGGAGGGCAGGGTCCTCAGACAAGCCAGCCCTACAGAAAGATTCATTCACAGAGAATTTCCCCCAGATACTTGAATTATATCAGGTGAAATGTGTGCATCACAGATCAGTGATAGATGGATGAGGTTGGAGACCTCATTACAGAATATCCCACAGAGCAGAGATCCTGGGTGCTGAGGATGTCACCAGGCAGAGAGATGTCACAAACCTCGGTATTCCAGTGTCACTGCTCTGCCTGGAATCCCCTGCATGTAAGCAAAGCTTGGACCAGCATTGACAGTCACACTTCTGCTGCTGAACAAATGTGCATGGTGCAGTCTGCCGTTCCCACAGAATTCCCTGCCAGGAAACCCATGTTTGTCTCCAAGAGGAGGAGGAGAGTGAGCAGTATGATACAGGAGAAATACACTGCTGTGTAACTTCCTTGTCCCACTAAAGAAAATTATCTTCTCTTGTCCTAAACCTGAAGAGAAGAAATAAATCAGTCTTTGATGCAAGCCAGCAGTGCTTGCTCTTGCCTAGATTCCTTTCTCTGCACTTACATTGCCAACTCTTGCTGGATTTTCATACATTTATAGAATCATTCAGGATGGAAAAGACCACTAAGATTCCCAACCCCACAGCATCCCACCATAAGTGATAACAAGCCCAGCCCCAAAGCACCCCCACCACGTCTGCTAACCATGTCCCTCAGTGCCACATCTCCACGGTTCTTGAACACCTCCAGGGATGGGGACTCTGCCACCTCCCAGGGCAGCTGTACCACTGCCTCACTGCTCTTTTCAGAGAAAACATTTTTCCTGATATCCAACCTGAACCTGCCCTGGCACAACTTAAGGCCATCACCTCCTGTCCTACCACTGGTTGCCTCCACTTACCGCAGTTCGGAGCTTCCTAGTGATGAGAGAACAAGGTGGTGGGGTTTTCCCCAATCTCATCAGGAAACTAAGGTGGAAAAAACAACACCAAGAAAGCGCTTGTCATGGACTGAGTATGAATGTCTTCTTTATCCTGCAGTGTTGTGCAACAGGTCATTGCCACAGTAGAGGAACCCACCAATGGACTCAGTATCCTGGTAGCAGACAGGAGCTGCATGTTTTAACCTTGGTTTGGGTTGGGTTGATGGGCAGCTTGCAACTACAACACTTCCAGGTGTAGATTTGCTGTCATGTGTGGAGGGAGTTGTGTTTTGAGCTGAGCCAGCGCCTTTTGGACATTGCCATACTGGGATGGGGTCCCACAACACACCTATCATCCTCATTGCTTAGGGATGGGAACATACGGGGTTATAAAACCTTAGTTAGGCTCAAATGGTTTTTGCTTTTTTCTCTCTTTTAGTGATTGGTTCTGCAAAGCGTGTTGGCTTTTATCATGCTGAGCCTTTCAGCCATGGTAGAGCAGGGCAACTGTTGTCTTGCTCATGCCCTCTAGTGTTGCTTGTAATGATCGGAGAACATTTGTGGGAGTTGCTGTTTGCCAGAGTCACTTCACTACAGTATCTCACTTGTTCTGTAGCTTAAAAAGAGGAGGAGGCGTACAGAGAGAAGGTGTGAGCAAAGTTGTGTGAGTAGATTTGTTTTTCCAAATCCATGTAGAATACACACAGATATACCAGCAGATGGGACTGAGAGGGGGAGACAGCATCTTCTACAATAGCACTGAACATCAGGTGCAGATTTCCTGGCCCTTCTCTAGATTCAAAGCACTTTGTTCCTGAGAAATGTGGCCCATTAACCTGCAGAGCATCACTTAGCAAGGAGGGACTGGGGTGTAGTGGAAGACAAGAGATCCCACCATCTCAGGAGGTGGGCTTGAACCACCCTTGCTGTGCTTCGGGGGCATGACCTACGCCTGTATCCTCCAGCTACCTGATGGAATGGCTCCTTGCCTTCCTGGCTCGTGGGTTCCAAGGATGCCATCAAATCTGGGAAGCCCTATTA